TACAAGGGTGCAGTGGCCTTTTTTGTCTCTCTTAATCAGTTTTGGTTTGAAATTTGCTTTGTCTGTGAATAAGATAGCTACACCTGCTTTTTTCTGAGACAATTTTTTGAAGACTTAAAGATGGACATAAGTGCCATCTTCAGTGCTGCACAGAGGCAATCTTGCTGCGGAAATGTCCTCTGCATTGAACTGGGTCCATCACACTCAAATCTCTTCAGGTTTGTTGGAAAACTGTAAACTGGTGGTGAGGTTCCTGTGATGATGGTGTGTGGACTTATAACAAGGCTCTTATAAAACACCAGGAGGATACCAGGCAAAAATAGAGGAAGAAGGTGCAACTGGGCATCAACTCCATGAGAAATGTAGGGTTTCTACAAGAGGGTTCTAGAAACAGACAAGTGGAGAGTGTGTCATCCATTTTGTCTGGAGAGCAATAACGTGAAGCAAAACCGGAGTTATGAGGTGGGTTTGGTGGGTCTGTTACTAGAATGTATGAAGAAAATTATAGGCCAGGCTCTGAAAATCAACCTCTTATCCCACAGCTAGAGAAGCCCATGGTGAGTGAGCTCTGGGTGTAGATTCCACTCAGGTGGAGACAGAATTTTTAAGGGGTTCCCGATGGCTTCATCCACACCCAGGAGGGCTCCCTGGAAGCTGGGCCTGCATTGCTCAGGTTAATTCATACACAGGAATCTTGGGCACTGTGCAAACATGAAGGGAAGTTTCAGCTCACTGAGGTTGAATGAATGCCAGGAGGGAATCACATGTCCTAAGAAAGTGTGACAACCCTAGGACTTCAACTAAACCCATTTAGAGACCCCAGGTCACAGTGCTGTGTCTCTTAGTGTCCCTCAACTGAAACTGAGCTGAGATCGCTACATTCAAAAGTCATGTGGATGCAGCCTTTCAGGTCCTACATCTTGAGGAGCACATGGACCCCAGTCCCAGGCATGGGATAAAGGAGAGAGAGCTGCTGGAAGCTGATGCTAATGAGCTCCACAGCTCTTCCCTTGGCCTCACTGGAGGAAAGGGCACAGGAGCAGTGTGCAGCGCTGAGCACCTGCCTGGTCTCCAGGCTCTGGGATGCAAGGAAGCTGAGTGCACAGTCGCTGTGTGACTTGTATGTGTTTAAATAACCTGCCCCTTCTGACAGAGAGCTGCCTGAGATACAGGAGAGGAGCCGCACTCCCCTGCTCTCCCCCAGAAAGTCTTGAATTTACTCTTCAGAGAATGGGCCGCCCTGCCATGCCTGGTTTCTACGAAGGTCAGCTACCAGTGCTCCTTCTTGACGTGCTCTGTCCATTCTTGCTCACTCTTAGGTGTGTGTGAAAGTATGTGACAGAGATATTAAAATTTTCTGCTACTATTCTGTTGCAAATGAAAAAGTACCTTTTCCTATCAAGATTTTTCCCTCCTAAAGTATTTTTCTTCCTCACTCCATCATTCTCCCAATGTAGTATGTGGCTCTCTCCCTCTCTTCCCCCTTCTGGTCCCATCCTGTCTCTTTCTCCCCACTCCCTTACCCTTTTCACACCTGCCAGTCCCTTTCAGTTATTAAATGTCCAGCTCACTGCTACAGTAACTTGCTAGGGTGCCCCACATACCACTAGTGCTGTGTTTCTCCAGCTTTAGGAAAAGAGCAATCTTAAGGCTCTGCATTCCTTGCTCTCATCTGACACAGCTGCTGACCCTGCATTTTATTCCTTACAACTCTCCTTGTATTGTAATAAAAGTGAATATTGCTTCAAGTCAAGAGTCAAAGCACACAATGCTGTGTCTTACTTATTTTATGTGAAACTCCCTATTTACTTAGCACTATAATACATGTGTCTTATGATTTTCAATCATCATAATTCCTTCCATAACTTTGAAATTTTTAACCACCCCTATTTTCTCTTCATCTCACTAATATTTTGCTAAAGATTTTGGCTGAACTTCTTCAGGAAAGCCATGTATTGTAAATGCACACATCTTTGTTTTTTTGTTGTTGTTGTTGCTGTTGTTGTTTTTTCAATACCGGGGATCAAACTTATGTCTTTGTGCTTGAGAGGCAGGCAGCAGAACCACTGAGCTAAATCTCTGGACCCAGTAAACATACACATCTTCATAGCATTTTTAAGTGGAACTCATCCTCAGAAAATCAGATGTTACTGAATTTTGTGCACAAGCCCTCTATTGTTGGGATACCGAATACTGCAACCTGTTAAGCCAGCTTGCAAACTACAGGTCTGGGTAACAGTGTGGGCAGTGTGTGTGTGTGTGTGTGTGCACTTATCTGTATGTAAGTGTACACTTGTGTGTGCACATGTGTAGACTGACTGAAGTCCTGTATGTTCCAGTAATTTCGTCTTCGAATTCATCTTTAAAAAGGCAATTTTAAAATTAATTTTCTCTTTCTCTTTAGTCTTCTCTATGTTAATCTCTGCTTTCATTATAAAAATAAAGTGAACACAAAGAAAAACTTTTATTCCTTGCACTTTACCATCTATTCAATCTTATTTTTTTGTCATTAGTTCTTTATTTTTGAAAGTAAAGGTGAAATTAGAGTATAAAATATAATTCAATTTTATCAGATATCTTGATAATGGTTTTGTCTAAAGGACGTGGAAGAAAATTTTCATTGTGTTTTTCAAAATATTGAGTTATTTGAAAGCTATGTTCAATATTAAAATTTATTGCTATATTTCCATTAAGATAAAATTTTGTACTTGGTGACTTTAAACCACATTTTCTATATAATGAAAATAGAAATCATTAATTTTTTTGAAATTTTGTAAATGTTGTTGCCTCCAAATCAAATCATAATGTTCAACTGGGAGGATTTGTATAAAAAATGACAACAACTTTATTTATAAAATTAGTAGGGTTCATATTCAGATGTTAACATAATTTATTTTTATTAATGGAAATGTGTCAGTTGTGAAAGAAACTTCTCTGCTCAGATCTCACCTCCACATCCCAGCCCCACTCCTGGGAGTACAGTTCCCTGAGAGAGAACAGAGCTTGTCAGAAGTGGAGAAATCCACACGGGGAGGGATGCACACATTCTCTGCAGGACAGAAGGAAAGGCTGAGCCTGCTCACCAGGTAGGGGCAGAGGACCCTTCTGACCTCACTGCTGCCAGGATGAACCATCAGGCTGGGCAGATTCTGCCTCCTATGAGGGCAAAGAGCAGTTAGACCAGGAGAAACAGGGAGTGAAGGTGCTCATCCTAAAGGAGGCAGAAACTCCTCAGGCAGATGTGGCTACCTAGGGAGGAGTGTGAAGGACCCCAGTCTTTGGCCTTCATGGACTCTGCAGGGCAGCAGGACTGGACCCACACACCCTACTGCACACTCAGCCCAGGGCATCACAGGACTCCTGCATGGCCTCTGCGGGAGACACCTTTGGATGTTCACAGAAATGCCTCTCATCTTAAGGAGCAGATGGGCTGCCTAGAGAAGAAAAGCAAGATTTCTGCAGTGAAGGAAAGGACAGAGAGGCTCTAAAAACTGAGGACCTGAGGGAGAGAGCAAGAGCAAGCCCCTCTGTGATGTGCCAGGGTCAGCTGGGGCTGACGATGGACTACCTCTCAGCTTGGTATCCTGGTCTACATCACTGGGTGGGGGTCAGTGTGGACAGAATCCTCCCAGAATATGTCCTCCATTGTCTGCATTCATCACAAATTTTGCTATGTAATGCGCAATGGCACTGAGAACATGGCTCAGTTGTCTGCATTTGTCACAAGTTTTGTCTTTAATCACAATGACACTTTATATTTAAAATTCAAATTGTCAGAATTGCTTGAGTCTTTTTCAATGCTCTGTGCTAAGCTAAATAAGTGCACTATTGTTAAAAATAGATGCTACACTAACATCTATAACAAGGAATTAAATATTCTATGAAATGGGGAACAATCCTAATGCCTATCAAAAGGGAAGTGAATAATTAATTGTGATATTAATTTATAATGATGAGCGTTTTTGTTGTCGTTGTTGTTTTCTCCTTACACATTTCTTTTAATGAATGGCCTACTAGATTTCCAAACTCATGGAATATCCTGTCACAGAGAGACATCTCTTTAGGTTCCCCTTTGAACAGATCAGCCAGTTAATGCCTGGTTTATATATTGCTCAGGGGGCCAGCTGATATTTCACCCAGGACTTGTAATCCAGACACAAATTACACCAAGTAGGATAATACTGATACCATGAAAAGTGCATCCTATGCTCTATTCCACTTATTACACAGCAAATCATGTAACTCTTAATGGAAATATTTGTTAAAAGTAATTTTGCATCTTTGTGAACAGATGTAGAATTTCGTCTTTCAAAGTAAATGTATACTGAATCACATGAGAGTATATTGCCATTGTGGTCTTACACCTTGTTTTAATACAAAGTTGAATATTGTGGTGTTTACAATCTTTCCATGTAAAACAAGATCCCGATCTATGCATGTCTCAATAAAACAGAGACATGTAACAGGTGATGTGCTGGATGGATTTTAATGTTTTGTCCATATGTATTTGCAGAGCATAATGACTACATTCAAAGTGAGGGGTTGGTGTGTGTCCATAACACAACTCAGTTTATCTATGCCCCTTTCCCTTCCCCTCTCTCCATCTCTTCTTCTTCTTTTTAGACAACATTTTTCTTTTCCTACTAACTCTTTTATTTGATCTTTATTTATAGTTTGAGTTCCTCATGGAAAGGAAACTGTGACTTTTAAGCCTGCTTAAAACTTCAGTTAACTTCAGTTAACATCACAGTCTCCAGCTGCACCCACTTTCCTACTAGGTCTCAAGCTTATCTTCCTCTGAGGATGGTAAGGTAGTGCTCCATTGTCTCCAAATATCACGTTTTCTTTGTCCACCCATCTGTTGGAGCACACAGAGGCCACTCCCAGGATTGAGCTATAGAGAACTGATGTTACACACAGCGTTGTGCTTGCAGCCCTGTAATGTGTTTTTAATTCACTGGTTTTCTTTAGACTCAACGGGTGCCTTGAGACTTTATAATATGAAGAATCAGACACTTTTGAGGGAGTTCTTGCTCCTGAGACTGACGGACAGCACGGTGCTGCTGGGGCTGCAGGCTGCGCTGTTCTCCCTTGTCTACCTGGTGTCCACGCTGGAGAGTCTGACCATAGTCCTCCACACAGTTCTTGACCGCCACCTCCACACCCCCATGTACTTCTTCCTCAGGCATTTCTCCTTCTTGGACCTCTGCCTTATTTCCACCATAGCCCCCAAATCCATTCTCAACTCCATCACCCTCAGCGACACCATCTCTTTCTTGGGATGTGTGTGTCAGCTCTTCTTGATGGTCCTCTTGACGGGGTCAGAGATGGGACTCCTCACTGCCATGTCCTACGATCGCTATGTCGCCATCTGTCACCCTCTGCACTATGAGGCTGCCATGAGCAAAGGGTGCTGTGTTCAGCTGATGGCTGTGTCCTGGCTCAGTGGAGGGGCCCTGGGAATCTTGTACACAGCTGGGATGTTCTCCCTGGATTTCTGTGGTCCCAACAGGATTCACCAGTTTTTCTGTGATGTCCCTGCCCTTCTTGAGCTCACTTGTTCTGAGGAGCATGCTGCTGTCAGTGTCAGTGTGGGCTTCAGTGTGCTCTATGGGTTCTCATGTTTGGTCTGCATCTTGGTCTCCTATGTGTTTATTTTCTCTTCTGTGTTGAAGATCCCATCCAGGCAGAGCCAGTCCAAAGCCTTCTCCACCTGTGTGCCCCACCTGGTGGTTGTGGGCACCTTTCTCCTGACAGGCACTGCTGCTTATTTAAAGCCCCCATCCAATGCACCTCCTCTTCCAGATTTGCTTTGCTCTTTGTTCTACACTGTGGCACCACCTGCCTTAAACCCCATTATCTACTGTCTGAGGAACAGGGCCGTTCAATCATCTCTAAGTAAAGTCCTGATTAAGGTGAGAAGGGGGCTAATAGACAGATACTAAAGTTGAAGGAGGTAGCAACATTCCTGCTGAAAATTTTCCCCTAAGTAGGTGTTTGCTGAGATTTTTCTCTAGAGGTCTGTACATCCTGGGATCCTCTTTCCATGAGTTAAGTCGTCACTTTCAATAGAAAGTAAGTCATTTCCTATACTTCTTCACATTATACCTTTTGTGTTACAGAAATGATGAAAGTTCTTCTTTTGTGACTTTGATGAGTTTTGTTCTTTTCCTGACACTACATATGGAAGAATTATGTGAGAATTATGTGAGTTTCTTGTGCCACCTAAATATCCTGGCTTCGTCTGCATTTGTCTGTTTTATTTTTTAAATTTTTCATTGTGCTTTCTAAATTTTGTTAATTATACTGTATTATAATTTCCAATTATCACTCTTCACTGAAATTTATTTTAACTCAAATTTATGATTTAAACATACTCATGAAATTTTTTAAATATTCTTGTTTGATTTGTTATATACAATGTGACATTTAACCTTTCACATCTTTGTTTTTTTCTGAAATAAATGGTTTCTTGATGCAGATGCCTTTTTCTTTACTGAAACCTGTTTGTCTCTAATATGCACATTCCTGACATTTTCTAATTATCCATTGAAATCTATGAATGTGGCATCATGAACATTCTCAATGCATAAAATCCTGTCCTGCTCTGGTGAAAGAGCATTTTTCTCTCCCTGACAGTCTGCTCACTGCTTCCTTCAGGAGAAGGAATTCATGTTTCTTGACCTCCATCTTGATAGCATGCTTTAGTGGCTCACAGTCCTCCAGGGCAGGTGGAGCCTCACATGGAGCAGGTGGGGTAACTGAGGCCCAGGGAGGTGTGGTATAACCTTTGTACCAAGCCAATAAAAATGAATGTATGCAGTGTTGTGGCCACTGGCAAGGCCTTGAGACAGTTTAAAGTCACTGAGTACATTTGCAATTTGTTCCTATTACCTGTCTCATAGACTCCAATTTTTATAAATTCTCCTCAAATTTTGAAGTGTAATTTAAATGAATATGACTCTGAAGAAGCATAAAGTACTTGGTTTCCCATTTCCAGTCTCTAAACACTTACATGTGAAAGTCATA